CTATGGAGCAATTCACAATGGGTGAACAATTTTGGTATTTATTATACCCTACAGAGAAGCGATGTTTCCAAGCCATGTAGTTAATAAATACCAACGTCTGTGCTCAAACCCAGTTGGTTGTACGTAACTCGCCACCTCAGTTCAAATTGGTTGAATAGGCCATATAAGATGTTGCAAATAATGCAGTGTATCTGGAGAGATGAGAAATGCATTCAGACAAGGAGATGTCTGTGGAAATGAACAACAAAGGGATTACCCATTCCCTGCTCCACGGACAGATGTGCAAGATGGATACACCCCAAAAGGAACTCTGATTGTCCATTTCTGAATTCCACTGTCTTGCATAAGACCTGACACATAGCAGGTGATTAATAAGAATTTAATGAATACGTGAACATGTTTTATAGCAAAAAACACAAAAACATACTAATCTGGGATTATGGGTAAGGCAGAAACTCATATCCTTGTTCATTAAAGCAACACATTAATATTCCATGGGCATCCCATATTTTAAGTAAAAGCAAGGAAAATGTTTGTATTTTTTCAAATGGCAACACAAATGACAACTAAAATATAGCCTTTTATTGTCACCAATATGATGTGCTTCAAAAATTGAAGGTCCAAGTACATTCACATCTCTTCAGACATTTCACAGAAGTGCTTTTGTATCTGAATGTTCTGTTAGCAGAAATGCTTCCCTCATCTCACATTGGCTGAGGAGTTCCAGGCTTACACGAAGTGAGATCCTGTTTTGAAAGCCAGGCTAGGAAGGAACTGGGTCTGATCGGTCTCTTGCTACTGGGGCTTCTCATGGGATACGGGTGTTCTGTTGAAGCGGGTTCTTTAGAGTGCCAAGAAGTTTGTAGCCTCAATGGTGAGCTCCTTGCTGGTCCGGGCGTCTGCATAGGGCTTGGGGGCCCCCTGCCTCAGAACTTCCAATGATCACTTTTTAGGTGACATTTACATGTTCAGCCATTGCTATTCAGAACACAACCTTTGTGCCAAGTTAGATGGATCCACAGAACTTTCCAGCTCGTAATGTGACCAAACCAACCCTTCTACTCATGAATCCTTGGGCCACTGTGAACATCCAGAGTCGTCATCCTCGGGTCCAGCTTTCCTCAAGCTACCTTTATTTCTGGGAGAGGGTAGTGCCTTATCCATTCAGTATGTTTACACCTCTTTGGTTGGGGAAAGTCTGTCCCAGTCCAGTGGGTCTCCCCACTTCCAAACTCCAGAAAGACTCATCAGTGCCTTGGCTGTGTGCTCCCAGGGGTTATACTTCCCTGTGTTTTACTTGTTTTACTTGTACTCTTGTACTCTTGTGACAGGGTTTCCAAGGAAACTAGCAGCTTTGGTGGAATCACAGAAGGGCATGTCATACCTCTCTAAGCTTGGCAATTAGTGTTCCCTGGTCCTACCAGCCAGAAAACACTTAAGTGATATGGGAAGTCACTCTGGTCATTCTCTAGAGAAACAGTGCACCCTGGGATCATGACCTGAACCAAAGGTAGATGCTTAACCTACGGAGCCACCCAGGCGCCCTCCCACCCCTTTTTAAAAGATTTTATTTATTTATTAGAGACCGAGCAAGAGAGAGCAAGCGAGAGAGAGAAAGAGCGAGAGAGCGAGAAAGGAAGTCCCGTGTTAAATGATAAGAAAGCCAAGGTCCTGACCTTGAGTTGCTCTTAATCTAACTTGGCTTTTCCACTTCTATGAGCTCGGACATGTTGGAGGATTCTCACATCGGAATATGGGCTCCATTTGAAGAAATTCAGTGATCGCTTCTCAGCATCTTCTTTGGTCAAGAGTCCACATCTCACCCAGCTGTCTCCAGACCTGGAGGGTTGGAAGGAGTCTCCCAGAGTTTTGACTGTTGAGTACAAACCTGATCATCCGGGGAGCCCCTATGTGCAAGCAGAGCCAAGGCCATGTTCTTGGAATTGGAGTGGGATTCATTCCACAAGTAAATGCCCACGAGAGTACTGCAGGCTTGTACTCTGGGGCAGAGGGTCCATGTCAGATGAACAGCACCTACACTCTGTGATCTACACTCACAGAGGCCCCTGGGGCTGGTGGGGTCTCCCCACGGAGGGAAGGTCATCCTCCAGGTTGTAGACATTTAGAGATAACGTACATACGCAGGTTGTTGATATCACTCATTTGTGGGCGGGGTGGGGGGCAGGGGGAGGGAACTCAGCAGAACCTAAAAATTTTTTTTACTCTTGCCTTCTGGCCTGAAATTCCAGATTAAGCTGTTTGAAACTCACTTCTTGATTGGTGGGAGCCATGGAGGAGTCCCTCTGCCTCTGCCCTATTCTCTTTCCCCTGCTCCTCGCCTCTCCTTTCTTTTCCATTCCTTTTTCTTCCTTCTCCTACCTTCTTTCCACTACTTCGTTTGCCCTTAAAGTTCCAGCTGTCCTTTCAGATACTTATGCATGGTACAACCCTGGCACACATGGAAGCAGACAGATTTTTGGGGAGACTCTAGTCTACACCTTCTCCTTGGACCACTTGAGTAGAAATCCGGTTACCAAACAAGTAAAAGCATTCTAAAGAGAGATGTGGCTCTTTACCCCACAGCTAAGTAAGGGCAGCATCCCGAATATCCCCAAGGTCTTTAAGGGTGGAGAGAGCATGCACATTCCCCAACTCTGGGTGCCCAGTGCCTGGTGCATACAAGGAGGGTGAGCTGGAATAAGTGCCTTCTCTTTGCCAAGGAGGGCTCCATAAAATGAGCTGGAGAGCTGGTACCAGAAATTCCAGGAAGAGGCCTTGCCAAGGAGAAGAAAGTCACATTTCCTGCAGAATGTCAGGAAGAGGGAGCCAAGATAATGGGCAAGGTATCAGAGTGTGCATTGTCATTGTTGAGGCAAGAACCCCAGTGGGAACGAAGGAGACAGGCACTGTCTCAGTGATGCCCACAGTCCCAGACGGTGGCCGTGATCAGCGAGCCTTCCCTTGTAAGAAGACACCTGTTTTATGCCCTACTTAATAGTGATAAGAAAATGACACAGGAAGTCCCATAGGGCATAAGAAATGCTTCATCCTGGGCCTAATGGGGGCATTTTGGGATTTGGTGATCTGTAAATATCATTGAGTCCTATGGTCTAGTTTGTCAATCTTCTCAAAGTCAGAGGAGTTTAATCTGCCATAGAAGTGTGGCCAGTGGGCAATGCCTGGGTGGCTCAGTTGGTTAAGCGTCTGACTCTTGATGTTAGCTCAGGTCATGATCTTGGGGTCATGAGATCAAACCCCAGGTCAGTCTCTGTGGTCAGTGGGGAGTCCACTCGAAATTCTCTCTCTTTCTCTGACCCTCCCCCTGCTCACATGCATGCTCTTTCTCTCTCTCAAATAAATTTTAAAAATCTTAAAAAAAAATGTGGCCAGTGGAACTGTATTCAACAGAAAACGCTCAGACTTTTTTCTAAGCATAATTAGAGTCATCCTACTGCATATTGCACACCCAGTATGTGCCTGGTCTTAGGATCTTGATTTATTTTATGCTCCTTATGTCTATACAGATCTCAGGAGGTCAGGGTGGATATGCCCATTTTTCACGTGGAAAGCTTTGGTTATAAGGGGTGATGTCACTTGCCCAAAAAGGCCGGTGATTGAACTGTTTTGCTGGTTGTCCCTCCTGGTACTAGATGGCTCAGTGCTGCTCTGACCTTCAGAGTCTTTACCCCATCCATCCTCTGCCACGGTGTTGGGCTGGCTGATAGATCAACTAGGCCTTGACAGTGATAGAGAGAGGGCTGGTGCAGCAAATAAAAACAGAGAGGCATTTGCACACAAGGATCACTTCTATTTAAAGGCCACATCACTTTGAATCCAGCAGATCTAAATAGGTCTGCATTAGCCTGGCAATTCTGTTTCCTTCATGACAAAGTGCAAATTAGAGCAGGCACATCTGAGCAGTCTTGGTAATCACCTGGGATTTTACATGTTTTTCTTCCGTCTGCTGAAGCTACAAGGCAGGTGTTGGCTTGCACGTCACTCTGCATTGGGCGCCGAGAGTGACCCTTTCTCCCTGTTTCCCTGGGATTCTTCAAGCTATCTGAGGACAATGCACACTGCACTTGAGCTGTTTTTCTTTGCTGGTTGCACTGGTTTTTTCCTGTTATTTTCTGGGCTTTCTTTGCAAACATGCTATTTCATTCTTTCTGTAGTGATTTATAGAGGACCTACATTTTGCTAGGAGATGGATGCATTTTAGTCAATCACCTGAGACTTCTTGGTTGTTAAATAGATAGATGTGATGATGAAGCCACACGATGCCTCATCACATAACAAATACCAAGACTCCTGCCTCTTTTCCTTTGAGCTGTGCTCTCTTCATCTGTAGTAAAATCTTCCTTAGCAATTTCCTGGAAAGATTAAGGAAAAGTAACATACATGAAAGCATATTGGAAGCTGTAAAGTACCACATGGCTGGTCATTTTATGAATAGGTAATCATTGCCTTATATTAGAGAAATATCAGCCTTATTTATTTGAGAATGTTTTTATATTTTCCTTAGGGTGCAGTTCATGTGTTAAGTGGTTCTGAGAAATTCACCTGTTTGCTTTCCATAACTCTGGTCAGCGGATGCAGTCAAGTCTCTCGTCATCATCAGATAGATGTGTCTTCCTGAAGTTGAACTCAACTTGCAGACAAAGTTTAGGGATTAGGGTGTATTTAGAATGCTTTGGAAGACACTGAGTCGAACAAGTTCCTTTGAAAACTTGATGTCTAACGCCATTAGAATTCACTTAATCTAAAACTCAAGACAGAGTGTTTTCCGCATCATACATGTTATGTGAATGACATTTTCAGGAGAGAGATTCTATGGGCACTAAGAAGTCCTTGGAGAAGGAAAAGAAGTTTCTGTCCTTATTTCTCTGTTCTCTTCCCTCCTGATATCAGGAGAGGAGGATTACGGAAGGGCTCACAGAGGAGGGCACATGTGAGCAGTTGAGCAATTTAGCAGACACCAATTTCTAGCCGAGGAGCACTACATGACAAGGTCAGATCATGTGGTGTGTAAGTGATCCATAAGGTTCTCCCAAGATGCCAGCCCCGTTCCCTCAACAGCAGTCTTTATAGGATGGGATGCCATTCTTCTATGGTTTTAATCTTTGGACACCACAGTGCATTTGGGGGCCGTGACCTTCCTTGAGCTGGACTGACAGCAGAGGAGGCTGCAGGGACAGGGCAGGCCTGGAATTCATGGGCTCCTCCTGGTTCTTGTTTTGCAGACAGCAGCAACCTGCACTCAGCCTGCGCCCATGAGAACGCCGTGCACAGCCGGGTCTTTCAGATCTTATACAGGAACGAAGAGGTCCCCATAAATGACGCCGTCATCTTCCGGGCTCATTTGCTCTTAGATGGAGAAAGGGTAAGTTATGCAATCTGCTACCAGCCACAGGTACTTTTGTATCTGTTGCTGGGTAAATGGTAAGTGAAGGAGAAGCCAGAGATTTGCTCTAAAGCCCAGCAGGGATTCATGACTTTAGAGAACCCACGCACTTACTTATTTATTCTTTTTTGTACTTATTCTTTCATTCATTTGCTTCCTCCTGCCATGTTCCGAGCAGTTTCCATTAGCTACCTGACTGATGCTTTTATTCCTTCTTCATGTGCCTGTTTGCTCATCAGTTCTGGGGCTCCATCAAGCAGTCAGTCAGCAGACACCTAATGGGTATTTGCTTTGTGCAGGGCTCTGTGTTGGGCCCTTGGATGGGGGACAAAGCTGCAGAAGGTGGTAGGAACTCTACCCTCGAGGGATTGGGAATTCAGTAGGAACACAGGTATAGAAAGCACCACCCTGGTGGGTGACATGCATGATGCTGGCTGCATTTACAAATAAACAAAGGACCCCAAGGATGGAGAGATGAGCTCTGTGGGGGCCATCGATGGTTCCACCAAGGACCTGGCTTTGAGACGCACGAACTAAGAGTCCTTCAGATGAAGAGAAATAGAAATGGCACCCCATGCATGAGGAAAAGCCCATAAACCTTGGGGATCTCATTCCATTTGTGGGAAACTTGATCAAAAATTCTCTTTTCCTCAGATGAACACATTTCAAAGGAATACCTGAAGTCTAAGCCCTTGCTCCCACTTGCCCAGTCCCACCTCCGATCCCCATTGCCACAGCCCGGCTGCTCATTTCCTGCTAGAATACCTTCAATGATGTGGAAGTGTATTCCCATTTTAGGAAAGTCAGATTAGAAGCATGTCCCCCACTCCCATTCCCTGAGTGGTGTGTGGAACAGCTCCTGCTGGCCAGGTGACTTCTTCCCCTTCTCATGCCTCATGGCTTTCCGTCCATGTCTTTCACAGTCTAGGTGGTAACCAGGTTCCACTGTGTGGCTGGAGGTGAAGAACTCATTCTTCGTTCATCAGTCCGTCCATCCATCAGAGATTTATAGAGTACTGACTAGCGCCTACTATGGGCTAAAGATAGAACAAGAAAATATCCCTGATGTCTTGGGGCTTATATTTTACCATTAGATCAGTACATTACAGTGAAGCCAAATAAATAAATCCTGTACATCCCACCCCTGAGCCTTGCACTGCTAATGCTCAGCTTACTTGTCTATAAGATGCACCCACAAGGGCACAAGAGTGGGAGCTGGTACCCCTGTTGGAGGTCCTGTGAGGCTACCTGGACCCGCCATGGAAGAGAACGCATGGCAGGCCCACTCGGCAAGACCTCGGCTGCTTCACGAATGCCCAGAGCTCAGCTCCTACACAGCCTTTTCACCAGATGGAGCTTATTGCCTGGAGGACAAGGGACAGGCAGGGGAGGCCTCCCTGAGAAGTCAACATTGAGCTGAGACCCCAATGCCAAGGAGCCAAGCATGCCAGGAGCTCAGGGAGACGGCATCGTGGGGGAGGGCATAGCAAGGACAAAGGCCCTGAGGTGGGAATGAGGTTGATGTGTCCCAGCAAAAGCGATAAAGCCAAGGTGACTTGCACAGTGAGTGGAGGGAAGGAGCAGGAAGTGAAGCTGGAGAGGTGGGTGGGGCCAGACTTGTGTTGCGAGCCCCGGGAGGGAAGGCGGAGATTATTCTTGGGTGATAGGGAGCCATTGATTTGGTCAGAAAGGTGGAAGGGCATGATGTTTATCTTAGATTTTGCCCCTCACCCCCACCCAGTCTGTGAGCTTCTCAGGGCTGGAGTCTCCCCTGTCTGTCTTTAACACCAGTGTCTGCCATAGTAAACGCCGTCGGAGACCCCCAGCTAGGGTGAGCAGATGACTCAGTTGGCGAATGAGCCAACTGAATTTGGAATCCCTCCTTTCAGGGGCTTTGTAACCCCTTTCTTTCCAAACAGAAATGAATATCCCCAGTGTGCCCTGTTAGCCTCCAGTTGCCCTGAGCCCCGTCTTCCTTGGGCCATCACAGTGACCATGAACACTTTATCTGTAATTGAAATCGAAGAGACCCAAACAGCTGCTCTGAGCTGTGCCCGCTGTCTCCGGATGGCTGGCGCATCGCCCCCCTCTCTACCTTCCCCACCTGCTTTGGACCCCGTTGCTGATTGCAGACATTGCTCAGTAGTATCCTTACCTTCTGGTTTCTGTTTGGGTTCAGCTTGTGAGAGGCCTAGCGGTGATTGGAGGAAAGGAGGAGAGTGGAGCCAGACTATTCACTCCCCAGGCTTCTTCCATGCTGGGTCGGGGAGGGCTACTTGTCCAGTGTGCCGGGGCCTGGCTTGTGAGAGCCAGAGGGACACGTCTCTTTCCACCTCCCCATTCAGCAGTGTCACATGGGTAGCTGGAAATCAGTTGTGGTGGAAATATTTGCACCAGAGAAATCGGCAATGCTGCAAATCAGAGTTTTTAATTTTCCTTCTGAGAGCCACTTGTTAAACATTTAGCCACGGTCTCAGCTCAGGTCAGGGGGCTCACTCCATGTAGCTTTCTCTCCAGTTCTGATAACCGTTCCCTTGGCCTTTGTTTCCTGGTCCAGGGTGGCCTGGACGTCCTGCGGTGACCAGCCCTGATGCATGGCATCTGTGGCTTTCCATAAACCCTCCCCACACTCTTGTGAATCATCCCTTTCCTGAACTGCACACATTCTTCATTTTGAGTGCTTATCATCTGCTTCCTTCTTGGGCCCAGTTTAGGAAGAGAGCGCTGAGGTTATTTTGAGTGTTAAGGAATTCCAAATTAGGCTGTGCGCTCACACTTGGCTCATCCAGATTATGGCAAGAGAACATCAGTTTACCTCTCATGGACCATCATCCTTTGGCATGTTGATCTCAGAGCTCTTCTGGGCAGCAGCTGTGTTAGGAGGCTGGGTTTGGACATTGCTCAGGTGTCTTGGTCATCTTTCATCTGAATTTACCACGTGCTCCCGCCCCAGCAGTCTGTAGCCCTTTCCCAACACCCAAGTTCAGCTCATGTGAGGTTGTAACAAGCCTCGGTTTCGAGGTTGAACAGGGAGTCCTTGTGACAATACATATTGCTTCCTCCCTCTACCTAGTCACTCATCTCTACAAGCCAATAATTTGCTGCAGTGCTGGGGTAATCCAGACAGCAGCAAACAATGCTACAGTTAATCATTATACCCAAGTCAGTGACAATTAAAGTTAGTTAGATATGTTTATAAACATTGTATATCGAGAATGGACGCATTAGCTCTTTTTCCGTGCATATCTGTCTGTGTTTGACAACCAAAACACTGCCTATAGCCACTTGGCCAGAGTTCATGTTCCCGCGTGCACACAGCCCGTCATTGTGAACAACAGACCCTTACATGATGGCTACATGTCAAGCATACTGGTGCACATGCTACGGGAAATGCAGACATGAGGATTGTGTCCGCACTCTGAGGGCATGGGTCAGCAAGACATGACCATGAAGCCATCGCAGCTCAAGGCATAAGATGGGCTGTTCTCATGATGGTTGCGAAGAGTGAGTGTGAAAGTAGGATGACTGTTTTATTTACATACACTCTGTGTAATCAATCAGAGGATTTGGGAAGGCTGACAAAATGCATAGAATAGTAAAAGGAAAAAACAACAACAATAGAGTTAGCCAGAGTACAGTCAAAACACAAAAAGGGGGCGGAAAAGCCTGGAAGCCTGGGATGAATGTCATAGACCAAAATGCACAAACACGGTGTTGGATGTTGCCAATGGCAGCCGACACATTTAGCACTGAGCTTCCCAGCAGCCTCGGAAAAGACGGCAGTTCTTAACAGCAAGATGCTTAGTGCCCTGAGGAGGAAGAGGAGTAGATTACATCAAAAAGTCTTTATCAACAAGGTTGCATTTTTATAGGCTTAAAAAAGGAAAGTATTTCTCAAAATGTGATTCTTTGTTGTATCCACACCACAGAACCCTGGCATACTTGTTCAAAATGCAGATTCGTGTGTGTGTGTGTGTGTGTGTGTGTGTGTGTGTTTGTCAGCTTTATTTATCCTGCAGTCATTTATATGAGCAGATCCCTTAAGCATAGAAGAGTAAAGAAGAAAGAACTACAATAAAAACATAATTCAGTACATTAATAACCAAACCCAGGGTTCATATGTGGCCCTTTATTAAGTCTTCCGTGTAGTGATCCTTCTGTGGTAATAACTTACTAGGGAGTGAAGCTCAGTGTAAGATCTCCAACATTAGGTTGAGCTCATTGCTTTCTTTTTTTTTTTTTAAAGATTTTATTTATTTATTTGAGAGAGAATGAGAGAGAGCGAGTACATGAGAGGGGGGAGGGTCAGAGGGAGAAGCAGACTCCCTGCCGAGCAGGGAGCCTGATACGGGACTCGATCCTGTGACTCCAGGATCATGACCTGAGCCGAAGGCAGTCGCTTAACCAACTGAGCCACCCAGGCGCCTGAGCTCATTGCTTTCTTAATACTGATATGTATCTGCTTTATTTGAAATGGAGATTGTTTTTTTATTATATTAGTCAACATACAGTACAGCAATTGCACTTCTGGGTATTTACCCCAAAGACACAGATGTAGTGAAAAGAAGGGCCATATGCACCCCAATGTTCATAGCAGCAATGTCCACAATAGCCAGACTGTGGAAGGAGTTGAGATGTCCATCAATAGATGAGTGGGTAAAGAAGATGTGGTCCATATATACAATGGAATATTACTCAGCCATCAAAAAGGATGAATACCCAACTTTTACATCAACATGGATGGGGCTGGAGGAGATTATGCTAAGTGAAATAAGTCAAGCAGAGAAAGACAATTATCATTTGATTTCACTCATATGTGGAACATAAGGTATAGCACAGAGGACATTAGGGGAAGGAAGGGAAAACTGAAGAGGGGGAAATCAGAGGGGGAGACGAACCATGAGAGACTATGGACTCTGGGAAATAAACTGAGAGTTTCAGAGGGGACGGGGGTGGGGGGATAGGTTAGCCAGGTGATTAAGGAGGGCACGTGTTGTAATGAGCACTGGGGGTTATACACAAATAATGAATCATGGAACACTACATCAAAAACTAATGATGTACAGTATGGTGACTAAAAATGCGGATTCTTGAGCCCATCCCAGACCTAGTGAGCCAGGCAGAGGGAGTTGATTCAGAGTTTCGAGTTTTTACAGAATGCATGGAATTTCCACAGGAGGCTGTGATGAGCTTTCAAGAGCAAGGGTAGCGTATTGACGGCAGGGAAAAGCAGTGACATAGATGGCAGGTCTGGGGAAGAAAGCCTCACTTGCAGTGGGGCAGAGGTGGCACGGGGGGGTGGGGTGGGTGCTGGACAGGAGAGTTAAGACTCAACACGCGGCCCTGGGCATGCCCTGCTGAACACCACATGCTTACCTATTCTGAAAGAAGGAGGTGCCCTCGGGAGTCAGGAGGAGGGGAGCTGGGATTTGGAAAGGTCCATCTGGCAGAAATATGGAAAGTGGGGCCCAAAGCTCCAGAGCATGGAGGGAGTGCTCTGGTCCATGTGAGTGCTGGTGAGCGCCATGGCAGAGGCAACGACTGGGGATGGGTGGAAAGAGTGAGCTGTGTTTCAGCCGAGCACAGCCCATAGACCTGGGCTCAGGTTAAGCATAGGGGATGCAGCATGTCCTGTACTCAAGAAAGTTCAGTGAGAGTTGACTATATGGTTTGGCCATGAAATGGGCTTGGGGTCCATTGACAGCCCAGGGTAGTTAGGAGAAGACACATTTCTTTTGGGGGAGTGATAGGAATTCAGGTTGAGTTATGATAACACCCACATGATCTTAACATGAATAGCACCTTGTGTTTATTAGGTGTGTGTTGTGTGGCAGGCATTGTGCTGAGTGCTTTTCTTGGGAGATCTCATCGAATCATCACTCCAGTACTGTGATGTGTATTACAGATGAGGATACAGAGATGTGGAGAAAGTAAGTAATTTGTGCAAAGTCACGCTGCTAGGAAGTGGTAGAGCTGAGATTTGAACCCAGGCAGTCTGACCAGGACACCTGTGTTTACGAGCAGTATGCAGGCCCGCCATGTGGAGTCAGTGCACGGAGGGTCCTGGGGGGGCGGGGAGCAGGCCCACGGGAATTTAGAAATAACAACGATAACTAATATTTGTTGAGAATGGTCTTTGTTCATACACTGTGTTCAGCCCTTCATGTGTATTTTCTTAGTCACGCAATAGCAGTGCTGTCTAAGGAATAAGGGTAATATTTTACCCTCGTCTTCCAGATGAGAAAACCAAGTTAGAGAGGTTGATTGGCCCAGGGTAGAGCCAAGAATGGCACCCATGTAGATTGTTTTCCAATGTTACCTTTCCTACCCGGCTGTGATGTAGCTCAGGAGAGAATCTAAGAATGAAGTGGAAGAAGTGAGAGTCACCATTATGAGGGGTGCCGAAACCAACCAGGGAGAGAATGCACAACCCAACACGCAAAGAGGCCAAAGAAGCAGACGAACCCTTGACCGAATCTAGGCTGTGGGATTCACTCACAAGTTGACCTTGGGAAAGTTGAATTGAGAACGTGCTGCTACACTGAGCCTCAATGTCCTTATTTGTGAATGGGGACAATATTTCTGAATTCACAGTCTTCTCCACACAGAATAAGATAGAATGAGCAGTGGACTGCTACCCAGGAGCTCCTTTGCAAATCTAGTTACTGTTACTACATCCATGGCAACACTACATGGCTTCCTGGTGTTAAACGTCGACTCTGAAAGGGAGGTGATGTCTTTAACCAAGTAGGACAGAGCAATGGAAGAGCATGCGTACAAGTGTGTATGCACGCATGCATGTGCAAATGTGTGCATGTGTGTGTACCCTTCTGCACGTGCCCATGTACGAGTGTGTGTGTGTGTGTGTGTGTGTGTGTGTCTGGAGGGCGGGGAAGGCAGCCAACAGCCAATGGTGAAATCAGTGGTTAAAGAAGCCAGTGACTTCATTCTGGAGCCTCTTGGAATTAAATTATTGAGACATCACTAAAGTCATAGCCAGGCTCAATCTAGCCACAGCTCATCCTGGCCCAGGATTCCTCTCCTGGTTCCAAAGGAATTGCAGCAAGTTTAAAACTGGAGCGTACAGTGAATTTTTGCTAGCCAGCATGCTCAGGAGGTGGTTAGGCGGGCTTGCTTTGCCAATCTCACTTCCTAGGAACGGGTAGCAAGAGGCTCCGTTGCTTGGGTTGTGTGTACGAAGCAAGGTTTGTGATTATGCAAAACAAAGCTAGAAGCGGAAGTTATTCATAGCACTTGGATCCAGCAGAATGTTAACTTTTAAATGCTTTTTTCTTTTTCGAACAAATTTTAAAACCCTGGGGACCTAAAGATAAATTCCATCCATATGTCTCTGCCTGAGTTATGCTTAACCAGGAACGTGTTTCCAGAGATGCCTTTGGGTAAGAGATTTCCACCCCTGTGGGATGAGGACATTTTGCAAAGAAACAAAACCCAAAAGGAGTGGGGGTGGCGAAGAGCTTTATTTATTCCTCAGGATACATGAATACTTTCTATGTGGCAGGCTCTATTGTGGGAGCTGGAGATCCAGAATGAATTAAGACTACTCTCTCCCTTAATGGTGACTGATTACTGTGGGCACAGTACTGTGGGCAAGAAAATGGCCAGGGGGGTTTAGCCACAGGCCAAATGGTGAATGTCAGTGAATGCGGGGACCCTAATCCAAACAAAGCTTCTAGATGGCAGCCCTGTGTTGCCAGATCCAGGGATTTTTTTTTTTTTTAATAGAAGCTGGAAACTTGCAATAGAAATGTGAAGTTGCCTGATTTTTGAACGTTTGGGGTTTGTGAGTTGCAACTTGCAGCTTTGCGTGGGCTGAACAAAATGTGTCTGCAGATAACAATTTGGCTCACTGGCTTCTAGGTTAGGAACCTGAAACAATTATAATAGGAAGCATTGAATGCTGAGACAGAAATTAGAAACCAGGGTTTTGTGGGTTGCAGGGGAGAAGGGCTCTGGCCAACCTGGGCATGGAGAGGAGCCCGAGTCCTGGCCCAGGAGCTTAGTGCTTCCCTGGGCTTCTCCACTGAGCAGGGGAGGCAGTGGGATCTGGTATTCTGCAAGCAACCTTCCTGGAGGTGGGGGGATGGGGTTCAGTGTGGGAAAAGAACAACGGGGGGTGCCATCTTTTAGATATATGTGGGAAGCTGGCAGGTGAAACAAATAGAATCCTTTGCGAATTGATGAAAACAGGAAAGTTACGAATGAAAGCAGCTATGGAAAGGACAGGAAATGCCAAAGTGTCTTGAAGTGTAAATGGTTGAATGTAACGGACCTCAAGACAAAAATGAAAGATCTGCTTTCTTAGGAAGCTGAGCCACCTTGGGGAGTGACTTCACTTCCCTGAGCGTCAGCAGCCTCCTCTGGACACCCGGAGAGTGGTGCCCACCAGGCGGGCGTGCCTGAGGGTAGAGGCCATGTCACCTCCAGCATCATCCCATCACTAGCCAAGTGGGGTTTCCTGTGGTCAAGTTCACAGCTCCCCCCTTCCCAGAGAGGTGTCACGGAACACTTCCCTCCTGCCTAAAAGGATTCCAGATCACATCTGTTGGGGAAAATGTGGTTCTCAAAAGTCCTGCAATATAGCAACCTTATTAACATTTTTTTTTTTTTTTTGCACATTGGCTTTTCCCCCATGTTTGACTACATAAATCCCTTCCTTCTGTTTTCCTGGTAATACCCACAGATCTCACCTTCAACTGGAATTCCATGGAACGTGCATGGGAATTCCGCTTCACGAATAAAGGACATTAGCCTTGTGGCGAGATGCTTTTCCTAAACTTTGAGAAATAGACCAGCCATATTTTTTATTTGGGCCAGATTGACCCCTAAATCCCTCACACTGTGTTTCTCTCGCAGGTGGAAGAAGCACTAAGTGAAGTCGATTTTCAGCTCAAGGTGGATCTGCACTTTACCGACAGTGAACAGCAGTGAGTGTCCCTGACGTCTCTGAATCGTGGTCCTATGACTTCCTTCCTCCAACCCTTCCCTGCCCCCCAGGGAAGCTCATGGCCGTGAACCTCAGAACATCGTTCAGAAGCCCGGTTCCTGAGCAGCTGCAGTGTCCTCCACTGCCACAGCCCACCGAGCCACGGGGCTGGACGTGTCCCTGTGGTCACTGCAGACGGCATGCACTTTAGGCAGGGCACTCACATGCTGTGTGCACAGAAAACAACCTGCCTGCTTGCCTTCATTATCCGGCACCTTCTCATCCCTGACACCTCCATTCATTTTTTCAGTGCAGTATTATTTTCATTAGGTCTTTAAATTAATGACCCTACGAAGCGGCAGGTCTCAAGGCTCTTCCTGAATCCAAGGAGATGCGGCCGGGATTCTGCATCTTTGTACTAAATGCCCGCTATTATGTTTCAACTCTGAAAATTGAAAATCCATTTATGTCACCTGTTGATTAAACAAGCAGGAGACAGTTGCTCTTCTTTCCCATAACTGCTTCCTCTCAGCCTGTTCTGGGGCCTCCTCTCCTCCTCCAGGTGAGCTGTCAGCCGCAGGTTCTACCAGGTCAGAAAAGGATAGCCCCTGTTTCAGGGCTCGTAAGTCCAGTCAGGGATATTAGCAAAACTGCAACCTCTCATCCGGTTTATGACATCTTCTTTGCCCCCGTCCCCACCTGCACCCACCACCCCCAGCTCCAGGCTAGCTCAGCTCAGGAAGCTCCCTGTGCAGGCGCGGGGCAGTGGGCGGCTTCATATTTGTACCTGCCTCCTTCCCCACTGGGGTGTGTGGACCTTGCAGGGTCAGGCATGGTAAGGATGGAGGAGATTGCGGGGCGGGGGGCAGGGGTCATGAAGGGCAGATTTAGTTGCAAGCAGCTTCATGCAGTGGAGGCTGATTCACTGGGTCCTTTGTTCTTGGGGTGTCCCTATACATTCCTTGGGGATCTACCCATTAATTAGGCAAGCTTCCTCACACCCTCCCCCCCACCCCTCCACCACCAACCCTGCAGTTCTTTGATACAGCAATGCTTCCTGTGGCTGGCTCAGCCACTCCTTGCAGGAAGCTCTTTTGGCATATTCTTCTCCAAAGAACCCACATCTGGTCCTTGGGAAATGAACAAAGGCACTTGCTCCCTCACTGGTGGGGCCTCCCTCCCCCTGCAATCCTGCTCACTCCTCCTTGGGCCGATGCAGCCACCCTCAGCTTCTCTCCTGAGGACTTCTGCAGAATGAGTCAGGCACAAGGACCTATGTTCTCTCAATTCTAAGGGACTTGATCAAGTTCACTTGAAGATCCCTCTCATGAGGCTTACAGTTATGGAGGAGACACTCCTTTTCCCTCTGTTCTGTTAGCAGATTCTCAGAGAATTATTCTGACCACTCTCCACAAATTAATCTGCCCTTCTGGTGTCTACAACCCCTTCAGCAGATACTTCATGCTCTTCTGTGGATAATGGAGAACCGGGTGGCCAGTGGTCTAATGCTGGCGGAACAATCCTCCGGTCCCCCAATCCCTTCATCCCTTCAAAGTTCAGACTCCCTACTGGAACCTTCTCCCCTTTCTCAAGGACTTGCTCATCCCTGAGATTGGTCTGGTTGTTATGGGAGTTTCCATAACATGAGGAGTTGAAGCAGACGGGATTCTCTGAGATGTTGGTGACCTGATGTGTCTGCACCTTGAGAATGGACATCTGCTGATGTGCAAATGGTCATGTCTAGTGTCTGGGGCGTCAGGAGTATCTATCCATGGTCTTACCGTGGGGTTTGGGCTCAACATCACAGATTCCTCATTCTTGTCTGGACCCAAGCCCCTCTGGCCACATGCTTCCCTCATCCCTGCTGATTACTCCTTCGTGGGATGGTGGATGCTTGGGAAATCTTATTCACCTCACACCATCCCCATGGTTTGTTGTTCTAGCAGAGCCCCTGCAGGAGGCTGGCTTTCTTCCTAATCTAGAAACTCAGAAGTGAAGCTCCTGCCTCTGGTCTCATATGCCCCTCAACTATCTGTGATTTCTATCATTCACCCATCTCATTAACCCACCTGCCTTCTTTTCCTGCACCTGTTTCCTTCAGAGACATTCATCTCCATGGGAGACATTTCTAAGTCATCAACGAACCCTACACCTCAGCCTAGGAGTTCTCCATCCGTTCCACCAGGCAGCCCAAATGATAGTCATGGTAGACCCAGGAAATGAGACCATCTTGCTGTCAAAACAATGGTTAACGGAGATGGGCCCAAAGTGCATGAAATTCAGCAGCTCAGGCTCTGTGCTCATCAACCACGAGATGTTGGTCAAGTCCCAGAACATTCCTACATCTCAGCAGCCTCATTTATAAAATGGACATTATTATACAATCGGGGCCTCATAAGTCTGTTATGAAGATTAACAGAGACAATATCTCAAGTGTGTGGACTGCTGAATCAATGTCTTCTTCCTCTTTGTGGCTTCCTAGATGCACATGGGGCCAGGCTTCCCTGTGTCCTTTCCTCTCTATAACACAGAGCACTTAATCACAATCAGAGCAGGGGGCTTCATGGAATATAAGATTAGCTAAGAGGAACAGGAAACCAGAGGCTGGGGAAGAGTTTATAATGACATATTTTTTCATTTTCATAAATTGGGTTTAAGGATGATACATCCTGGGGATACACATTAGGCTTTGAAACATGACCCAGGCAGAGGCTTCTTTAGAACCACATAGGCCAGGGTGGAGACCAACCAGAGAAGCACAGTATAGAATATCGGGGATTTCAAAAGGTCTCTTGACACCCATCTCCTCCAGTGGTTTTCACTGTGGGTAGGGCGATTCTGTCCCCCAGGGACATTTGGGCCACATCTGGAGACATTTTTGATTGTTACGCAGGGGATGCTCCTACTTGCATGTAATGGGTAGAGTCTCTGAATGCCAAGAAACATTCTACAGTGCACAGGACAGAACCCCCTCCCTGACAAAGCCTTATCCCATCCCCAGAGTCAAGATTACCCTGCTCTAGTCTACCCTCCGCTTGCACCTGGTACGTTGCGAAGGCCCACGAGCATATGCCTGCATAGAGACAGGGAGCTCACTCCTTCCCATCAGATCCCATTCTGTCCCTGGGCAGTTCTGCCTATGAGGAAATTCTTCTTTATTTAGGGAACAAGTCCTTTTTGTGTGCCTTCCTTCAGTTGCCCTGGATTTTAGTCCTTGCAACCACTTAGAAAAATTCTCAGGATGACCCTTTAAGATCAGATAAACAAGACTCTTCAATAAAATGATCTCTTCATCTCCAATTAAATATCAGGGCTCTTTCTCTGTGTTTTTTTTTTTTTTTTTGATTGGTGGTTTGATTTTTTTATTTTTAGTTCCTTTATAGAAATGCAGACATTCTCCTCTCATTGCTCTCAGGTTTACCTCATCCTTTCTAAATTGAGACCCCCACGAACTGAGTTTTATCGCCATTGATTGGCTCTATTCCATTTTAGAACACAAAACAGCTTTTACCTCCTTTATTCTGAGGTCTTTACTCCTATTAATGTGGCTTAAATTCTTCTTCACATTTTTGACACCTTTGCTACCCTGACGTGCTCTTCACCTCATGTCGTTCTAGCCTAAGAATATTTCTGTGATTCCTACAAGCCTGTGAGCGAATGGATTCCAGTAGAGTCCAGTACTACAGAATGGACTGCGTGGTCAGATAAACGTGGGTCTAGCATTCGGTTTTCTCTTGTGACTTTGAACAAGTCAGTTAACTCATGCTAGCTTTACTTCCTTGTCTGTAAATGGAATAATACTAGGAAAGACCTCATATGATTGTCTTACGGATTAAGGGAAAAAGCACTGGATTCAGTTCATAGTAAGGCCTCAGTAAATTGTTTTCAGAATTGAAATGACTATAAATGTTAATGACTTTCTGAGGCTCAGGAGGTATACTCCTAGCCCCTTCCCCGTCAGGCTTCTCCTGGGAAAGAGAGGAGGCCCTGTTTGTGGTCTGTTTGTGGAGTCACATTGGGCTGCAGTGATTTATATGCTTGGCTTTCATTTGCACACAAGGATTCCAGGAAGCAGAGCCCGTTGGGCTGGGTCTTGGGAATTTGCTCGCTTTGCTTTCTCTGTGTCTCATTTCCTCATCTATGGAGGAATGAGCAGTTTGTCCTCTATTTTCTGAGCTCTCTGCTCTACTCAGGGAAGATGCCCCACCCCGGCTACCCAAGTGCTCTGATTCAGAGAAACTTGGAAAACCTGAGTGATTGATTTCCAGAGCTTGAGATTTAGCACTGGAGGAGTTTTATTTAGAGAAGAATCAACCCTATTTTTATCACCAGAGGCTCTGTTGGACTTTGCCTACCAGCCAGTTCATCTCTTGGGAATCAGACATGCACCAAGGACAAAATGCTAGAACAAAGATAGAGAAATCCTTGATGAAAGTGGTCAGACTGTTTAACCGATATGCTTCGGGACTCATTTGTTCATTTGGTCAGGCAATTATTCTTTTTAATAAAGCAAACATTGGGGCAACTCCTATAGTATACCAGATGTTAGGTGTTGGGGATAGAAATGTGAATCAGTCACATTTCCTGGCCTCAGGAGGTAGAGATGTAGTAGAGAGTGCAGATGTACAAAGGAAGTGCTTTCCTGCATGTGTGGGGAGGGCGAGGAGCAGTGGGGGAGGGCGAGGGGCAGTGGGGGGAGGGAGCCCAGGAGGGCTTCAGTGCTGAGATGAGCCCTGACAAGGGTCCGAGTGTGTCTCCCTCACTGGCCTGACGGGGGGCTTGGTGCCCGTGGCCACAGCGCGTGAGCCCTGGGGGCTGCTGAGAAGTAGCTGTGAGATGCCTCCTGCCTTCTTTTTCTTCTTGGACACCGAGTTTCTTCATCTGCCAATCACGGGAGAGATGATTTCTACCAGACAGGGTGATTGTAGGGATTGAATAAGATGCTGTGTGCATGGTGGTTGTCCCGGGTGAGGCTCTCACACAGACCTGCCTGGGTGACGGCAGGGATGGCCTGCCATCACTCACGGGCACTCACTCACCTGCCTTCCAGGCTGCAGGATGTGGCGGGGGCCCCCCTGATCAGCAGCCGCACACTTGGCCTACACTTCGACCCCCGGAGAGGTCTGCATCACCAGGTCCCCGTCATGTTCGACTATTTCCACCTGTCAGTCATCTCGGTGACTGTCCACGCTGCCCTCGTGGCTCTGCAGCAGCCCTTGATCAGGTAGGAAGCGATGACTACGATCTTGGAGGTGCAGGGGCGCCACTCTGGGTTTCTTGGGACGCTCTGTCCCCGGCGCAGCTGAGGGGCACGGGGCTGGCCGGGATTGATGGGTGCAGACCAGAGGAGCGTCTCCCAGGCTGACAATTGAGGCTCTGGGCCTCCCTCAGGAGCAGGGGGGTGGGGAGCGGGGGATGTGGAGGGGGGCATCAGGAGTCAGGGGTGCACGGGCAGGGAGCCAGTCTGAAAACCTGCCAACAGTGGCTCAGACCTGGCTATGCTGGAGACAGATCCAACCTGGGCCCCATGCCAGGCTTTGTTTTTTCTAACGGTGGCTTATCTGAGAAGTCCCTGCATGTCCCTGAGACACACAGTCTTCATCTCTAAACCAGGAGCACTCATGTGGCCATGCACAGAAGATTTTAGTGACTCTCAGATGAGGATGTGGCCAGGCCCGGGGCAGGGGCTCTGTCTTCTGCCCCCTCCCAGCTTGCTGTTTGTTCCAAAGCAGGACCCCGTGTGTGGCCCTGTGTTCTCCGCATCAGTGAAAGCCCACGAAGTGCTGAGGTTTCAGGAATGCCACAAATGGAAGAACAGAGCTGGTGCACTGTGTTTTGTGCCTGGCATGGCCAGACATACGCCAGGTCAGTTCGAAACCTTGCCCGTGCACGGGGGCATGAGTTGCTCAAGTGTGCAAAGGGACATTCAGAGAGAGACTCTTTTTTTTAAGATTTTATTTATTTATTTGAGAGAGAGAGAATGAGAGAGAGAGAACACATGAGAGGGGATAGGGTCAGAGGACGAAGCAGACTCCCTGCCAAGCAGGGAGCCCGATGCGGGACTCGATCCAGGGACTCCAGGATCATGACCTGAGCTGAAGGCAGTCGCTTAACCAGCTGAGCCACCCAGGCGCCCCAGAGAGAGACTCTTGCAGCCTGGAGTCTCAGGATGGAGCTAACTTCCCAGTGTCCCTTTTCAGGACAGCTTCTCAGTGCGGGGAGTTAAAGTGCCTGTGGGAGAGACTCTGGTCCCCACGGTTTATTGTTGGGTAAGGCCCAGGCTCTGATGGGCTGACGGGGTCAGGAGTAGGGAAGGAGGAACCTGGATCCTGACCAGGTGACGTGGCCAAGAGATGCTGTTCCTGGAGGCCTTCACTCAGTCCCTGGGCCCCTCAGCCGAGCTCCACCTGGGCTGTGCTTGCTGATGGGGCTAATTCAGACACTGACCTTGAATGGTAGACAGGACGCCTATGTATCAAATCAACCATAATCCTCAAACTGAGGCGTGTCGCCCAGAGATAAAGTCTCGGTGGGCTAAAGAGCATAGTTTCTGAGAGAAAAGGGGGCACCGCATAGGACGGGCCTTGGGCAGCGTTGGGTTTTGACCTGGGGAGAGCCCATGGGGGGTTAGCTCAGGGCCTGAGAATGGAGCCAAGGGCACTGGGGGTGGAGGGAGCTGGTGTCCTGGGCTGTGTGAGTGGAGCGCCTGGCCCCCGGCCTCTGCTGGCGAGTGTGGACATTCTCCTGCCCATCGAGGATTGGGCTCCTCCATGGAAACTGGACCACTGTAAGGGAGACCACGGGACTAGTCATGGTTCTTTCTCCACGGCTGTACGGAGGGCCTGCTGTCCCGGGAACGGTGTTAGGACACACACAGTATACTAAGGAGACATCACCATAGACTTTTCCCTCCAGGAGTGCAGGGTGGGATGGAGGGAGCCCGTCTGCACTGACGGCATTATCATATGGCAGAGGCTGCGCCGAGTTTGACAGAAACATTGCAGAATCAAAGGAAAGCAGACCTGAATTTGGGAAATTGCAGGAGACATAGAGTCCAGAAAGCAGTCCAAAGTATGATGACCCTGCAGAGGATACCCCCTGGCTGTGAGCTCGCTCCGAGGCTTGGTGAAGAATGGCCCTGGCGTAGACATGAGGACATAGTCTGTCTGCTGTCAGGGATGCAGGGCAGATGGCCAGTGTCCTGTGAGTGGCCGGCTCTCCACTGCTGAAGGTGAGCCAATAGCCCGGCTGGGAAAAGCAGAGCTCCCTGCAGGCAGTTCTGGGTCCCTGAGATGGAGCTCTTGTGCCTCGGCTGCATCAGGCCCTTCCTGATGTCTAGCACTGCCAGGTAATTTCTGGGGGCCCTTGGAGAGGTGTCTAACTTCTCTAGACATCGGTTTCAACATTGAAATAGGGGAGGGAGGGAGGGAGGACGGAAGGAAGGGAGGGAAGGAGGGAGGGAGGAGAGAAGGAAGGAAGGAAGGAAGGAAGGAACTTAAGAAATAAGCAGTGAGACTCACCCAGCAGAGATGACAGGGGTACAATGAGATGAAGCACACATTCTGTGTCACACATGATGCACACGGGCTCCGTTAGTGGTGGGTGTCCTAGGCTTTAGCCATTTCTGGAAAGGCCAAGCCAGGAAGCTCTGGGATGAACAGATCAGATCCGGGACCCTAAAAGGCTTGGAGCCTGGCAGGGCAGAGACGTGCTTAAGTATCTAACCTTGGTTCAGTGGTGCAAACCATCCTGGGAGCATGATGTAGGATGCGGTTAAAGTGTGGGCTCTGCAAGATGTCCATCGACAGATGAATGGATAAAGAAGATGTGGTATATATATACAATGGAATATTATGCAGCCATCAAAAGGAATGAGATCTTGCCATTTGCAACGACGTGGATGGAACTGGAGGGTATTATGTTGAGTGAAATAAGTCAAACAGAGAAAGACATGTATCATATGATCTCACTGATATGAGGAATTCTTAATCGCAGGAAATAAACTGAGTGTTGTTGGAGTGGGGGGTGGGGTGGGAGGGATGGGGTGACTGGGTGATAGACACTGGGGAGGGTATGTGCTCTGGTAAGTGCTATGAATTGTGCAAGACTGTTGAGTCTCAGATCTGTACCTCTGAAACAAATAATGCAATATATGTTAAGAAAAAAAAAAGAAGAAGAAGGTAGCAGGAGGGGAAGAATGAAACGGGGGAAATCGGAGGGGTAGACGAACCATGAGAGACGATGGACTCTGAAAAAGAAAGTGGGGGTTCTAGAGGGGAGGGGGGTGGGAGGATGGGTTAGCCTGGTGGTGGGTATTGAGGAGGGCACGTTCTGCATGGAGCACTGGGTGTTATGCACAAACAATGAATCATGGAACACTTCATCTAAAACTAATGATGTAATGTATGAGGATTTACATAAGAATAAAAAAAAATAAATAAAGGTAATTCTAAAGCCACATGCAAAAAAAAAAAAAAAAAGTGTGGGCTCTGGGTTCTGTTCTGAGCCTCCTGCCGATTAAGCTTGTTAGCTCAAGCACGTGACTTCAGCTCCCTGGGCTTCTGCGTCCGTGCATGCCGGGAGGTTATTAGGAGGATTGAATGAGATAGTACACAGAGAACCCTTGGACCTGCATTTAATGGATTAATATCTATGCATTGCCTGCCTTGTCGCAGGCCCTGCTCTCAGCCTCCCTGGCTAGCGCCTCACAAGCACGTACTGAATTGAGGAAATTTCAAGCTTGGGGAAGAAGTAGTTCTGCTCGGGGGAAACCAGGGCGGGCTTTAGAGAGGAAACAGGCTTTGAGCTGGACCCGGGGAGATAGAGATTGTGACAGTGAGAAATAAATTGGGGAGGGTAAAGGTCACATTTAACAGTATAACCAATGACAGATTACAGAACTGAGAATCTGTTTACTGTCTAAGAAGGAGACATGGGGGATTTTCAGCAAGAGCATCACTTGATTAGACCCATTTTGTGAAGATCCCTCCCATGGCCAGAATGGGCTGGGCTGGAAGTGACATCAGGGTAGAGGTAGGAGGACCAGCTAGGGTCCCGTTAGGAGATTAAGGGTTCACGTTGAGAAGCAGGTGTCACTCCTCTTGCTGCTGGGAGCGCTGATACTATCTAACGAGGATTTGGGATCTGGAAACTCCTCATAGAAAATGTAACCTTCTGATGGAAAGAGCTCCTTGCAAATCAGATGCAGCAGAGAGGAGCATGAATAGACATCCAGCGTCAGAGCCTGGCTTCTCCCAGGATGGGGGTAAAAATAGAACTGTCTTCTGTTCTCTGGATTTTACAGGAAGCATTTCTGTTAGTTAGCTCACAGTGGCTGGGAACAGAGGGAACCCTTTAAAATGATGGGAAATACCTGTCAAACAGCGCGAGCTCTAGTTCTTCCAGAAAAGCGAGTTTCACATCATCAGTTAAATCCAATCAGGGAGAAGCAGGTGTGAAATTAAAATTTAACCTCAAAAGACCTTCCGCCTTTCCTGATACACCCCGAAGAAGAGAATCTGATTTTTCATCCTTAAATGGGGAGAGATGGATTTCACGTGAGGGATTCAGATCCACTGCAAAAGCCAATCGAGCCCACCGTAAAGTAAAATAACCAGTCACTCCCGTTATGCATTGGCAGTCTGTCCCCGAATGTGCCTTGAGCATCGCTGCTCACGCGCACATTCTCTGTTTCCCTGCAATGTTCCTTTCATCCATTTGTAGCTAAACTGTACACTTGCTGAAATTGCAGTTCCAAGCAAATCAGAGTAGTGATTACATTACACTCGATTATATTTGTGGTGTTATCAATAATAGCGATATAGAGACAGTAATGGTTTTGTGAAATTTTACTGTATTTGTGGTATTATTGACAGCAGTTAGAGCATTTATGGAATCATTTTTGCCTGACCCCGTACTTACAGCTGTGTTGGGCTGATCTCATGGAATCTTCAGAGCCTCTGGGGAAAGCGCTGGAACCCACCCTTCCCACGTGTCAGCCTTTCAGAGGCACTCAGAGGCTAAAAACGTACCCCTGTCATGGAGCTTATGGGTGTTGCTGCTGGGCTCGGAGCCGGGGCGGACCGGCCTCTAACCGCTGGGCCCTTCTCCATGAGGATCACCCCTAACACTGTTCTGAGTTTGCCTTCATCCTGTTACATCTGCCTCCCTCCCTAGACCAAAAGTCTTCACAGAGGGGGTCGTGCCTGCATCCTCTGGCCCCCGGCCACTTAACACTCTGCCCGCTATGTGGCTTGCACCTAGTACGTATTTGCATAAATGAATTAAACAGAAATATGACAGGAGCTTTATTTCCCTGTCGGGATTTTAAGCAGGCACGTGGGACGCTTGGACTAAATCATTCCAGGATTATTTCTTGAGCACCTGCCCTGGAGGGGGCTCTGGTTGCACCTTCTACAGAAGAACAAACAGAGGCTCGGCAGGGGCAGGGTTGAAGGAGCGCACCCCGGATTGTGCCCCGAAGGAAGTAGAAGCAGGGCCCAGACCGTAGTGGATGGAGGCCCCGTCCTTCTGGCCTGGAGCCTGTCCAAACTGTCCCTCCAGTCCCATGGCCTTGGAGCTCTGCCTCAGTGACTCTCAGCAGGCACATGGTTGGCCTTTAGGGGCATTCTTTTGTCCACAGAGTAGGATGTGTGCCATTTTGCCTTCCAGGATCTCATGCCGTTTGCGCCGCCTCGTTGGGCCAGCGTTCTGGGTGGGGGGGCAAACTTCTTCTGGATGACTTATCTTGCAGCGAGTCACTGACAGCCCCGAGGGGCTGAGCTCATGACACCATCACTTTCTTCACACTGTTTCCCTCTTCAATCTCCCTGCCTTTCAGTTTTACCCGTCCGGGAAGAGGCTCCTGGCTTGGTAAAGGCGGGCCAGACACGGGACCAGAACAATCTAGCCTCTCTCTGGAAAACCTGGTCTTCGGAGCTGGATACTGCAAGCCGACTTCCTCAGAGGTATGGTCTGCACGGGACGTGGCCCCAAGGCCACCCTCGGTTTTGCAGGGTGTGTGTGTCCCTTCCTCTCACCTGTCCATCCGTCCCTGCCTTTCTGTCAAACATATTCCTAATGCCAGGGCCTGGGGTAGACGCTGGCCCTGGGGTCCTCATACGTGTCTCCTCTGGGTGGTCCCCCATCAGGGCGTGTTGTGAGGGGCCTCCCCTGGACCACGTGGGAACCTGGAAAGCCCCTTGGCCTTGAACTGTTTTCAAAACTTGGCTCCGTCTCTCACTTGCTCACTTTTCTGAGTCTCACTTTGCCCCCCTGAAGGGTGAGGTCATGAAAGCGTGATCCTCTTCTGGGGTGGTGTGTGTAGCCGTTGCTATAATGAATGTAAAGTTCCTAGCCCAGTGCTGGTACTCAGTAGGTGCTCAATAACTATGCATACCCTGACCTTTCCCTTGTTCTCTCTTCTCCATCAACACCCATCCTTACCCCTCTGTGAGGCGCATGTCTTTGGCCACGCTCAGCATCACTCTGCCCATATCTCTCCTGAGACGACAAAGGATTATTTTTATCAGGGACCTGCTCAGAAATAACCAGCCTACATTAGTCTAGCTTCTCCAGAGAAACAGAACCAACAAGAGATAGATAGATGGAGGAACAGATTATAGTATTTCCAGCGAGCACTGACATATTTATGTACATGCAATATATATATATAGAGAGAGAAATCTTTTGAAAACAATTGGCTCACATGATGATGGAAGCTGAGAAGTCCCAAGCCCTGTCCCCTGCCGGCTGGGGACCCAGGAGAGCCGAGCCGGTGGTGGGGTTCCAGTCTGAGCTCGAGTGTGCAGGCAGGAGAACACTGGTGTCCCAGCCGGAAGGCAGGCAGAGAGAGGACATTCTCTCACTCAGATTCCTAGCTGGTCAGCTGATGCCCACCCACATCGGGAGGGCCACTCCGCACTCAGCCTGCCCACCCGCTGCCCCAAAAGAGGCGCTGCCCTGTCCTGTGCAGCCCTGCTCCCTGCTCACGGCGTCTAGCACAGCGGGTTCCGCACGCTGCTGGCTCTCCTGTGACGTCAGCTCTCCCAGCCTGCGCCCCAGCCAGGAGGCCTGGCTGCAGAAGCTGCCCTCAGTCATGCGTCCGTCTGGTTCAAGCCTCTGTGTCATGTTCTCCTGTGAGGAGCTGAGGAGAGAGCTGCCGACCCTCCTGCGGGACAGGGGACCCAGACCCGGACAGGGCTCTGTGCCCAGAAGGAGCACAGAACTTTCTTGAAGGTGGACTCCAGTGACCTGTAGATGTAGGACCTCGGGCAGCCGCTGAGTCTCTGGGAACCATGTACTTAGCGTTGACACTGGGCCCAGCAGATAGTAGCAAGGGAGTGGAAAGCAGGAGACCAGCCAGCCCGGGGTGGTGGTGGTGGTGACGTGTCTGCATTACTTCATGCACGGGGATGGCTTCGAGGCTCGGACATGGGATTGGGAAGGAGTGGAAGGCAGGGACTCCCAGCTCCCTCTGCATCCCCACGGCCACACGGTGACTGTGCATCATTAGCGGATCCCGCGGGCTTCCCTGGATCAGCCCCGACCCCCTGCTCCCCGTGGGTGGACTGAAACCTTCGTTGTGACCTCATCACATCTCCACTACCCCCTCAGCTGGGTCCCCCTCCTCACTCCCTGCACGTGCTGGCCCCAGAGCCTCCCCAGGAGATCTACCTGAAAATCTCCAGCTCGGACCATTTTCCGTGTAATGTGGCGTAGGACATTAGGGAATATCAGAGGTCCTAGATCAATTCAAAGCATTTTTGACACGTATTCCAAGACAGGGCTTTTGCTGGGTCCACAGGAGCCTATGAGGATGATTTTTTTTTTTTTTAATTTTATTTATTCATTTGAGAGAGAGCACGAGAGGGGGGAGGGTCAGAGGGAGAAGGAGACTCCCTGCCGAGCAGGGAGCCCGACGCGGGACTCGATCCCGGAACTCCAGGATCACGACCCGAGCCGAAGGCAGTCGCTCAACCAACTGAGCCACCCAGGCGCCCTATGAGGATGATTATGATACAGTGTCTCCCATCTGATGCCTCGTTCAGATGCCACCACCTCTGAGAAGCACTCTCTGATTTCCTAGCCTTCGTTCTTACTCCGTGTGGGTCCGTGTGGCTGGGGATAGAGGCCAGCTCACTCGGCACCCCATGCCCAGCCCCAGCAATGTGCAGGGCTGCCCTTGAAGACTGTTCAGAGCCCTAGACTTGGGGCACGCTCAGGCAGGGCACACTGACTCTGTGGCATCTGAGAGGCTAGGCATGACCCAGCCAGGTCCCTGATCTTGAGGCGGTGTGACATGGGAGAGTGAAGATTATGGTCTCAGACACCTGATGTGCCCCTCAGAGCCCTGTGACTTGGCGGAGTTTGACTCACCCTTGGAAACTCAATTTCTCAACACGAGAATGGGGTAATACCTGCTTTTAGAAAGGATCTCAAGAGTTAATATGTATAAAGACAGTACAAAAATAGACCCATAGCAGGCACATGATACAGTATAGTCCCCCCCCCATTTCTTTTCTTGGCTATTTTTGGGGATGTGTGTCAAAGAAGACATCCCTGTCTTTTACAAGAGTCAGATAAAATAGCTTATTTGTGGGTGCTCAGCAGTGAACTTGCTCATGGAGCTTAGCTCAATGGGTTATTTTCAGGACCTGATTCTTTTCCTGTGTATTTTCCATTTGGGTCCCATCCAATTATGTGGGCTCAGTGCTGCGCACCCACCCCATGCCTTCCCACCAGGCAAGGGCTGCCAAGCAGAGAATAAAATCCACTCCGCCTTCCTCCCCTAGGAGCCGTGCATCCAAATCCCCAAGAAGCCCAGTGCATTAGCAAATAACATGGGGATCCACGCAGACTGCAGCATCAGCTGGAAGGATTAGACACCAGGTGTTCCCTTCAAAATAAGCCTTTCTGTGCAAAGACATTTACAGAAACTAGAGTTCAGGAGCAAAAGCAGCTGACCGCATGAAAAATCACGGGAGGCCAGGGTCCCTTTCCCATTAGCCGGGCCCCTCCCTCCCTGTGTGCAGCCCCACTCTTTCCTGCTGCACCCAGGTGGCTGGAGCCTCAGATTTAGAGTTGGAGCTCACATCCCCTCCCCATCGCAAGCCAGCAGCTTTGCCCCACGGGAATTATTTTCCCTTCTCTGATTTTCGGCTTATCTGTCAAAAAGGGACACTAATGCCTGCCTTGCAGGGTTGCTGAGAAGATTAAATGAAATAAGCATATTAAAGCCTGGAGTGTAGAGCCTGGCACAAAGTGCTCAGTAAAACCCTCTGTTAATGGATTATTTTACTTTTAGTTTATTCACATAATTAAATTGAATGTTACTCTGAAAGCCCCCATGTGGTCTTGTGGGTAGGACATTGAATGAAGGGTCTTAGGTGTGGTTTTGTTCTTGGCTTTCAGCACTAACCTGCTGTGCGACCTTGAGTCAGACATTTGCCCTCTCTGGGTCTCAGTTTCCCCGTGTGTATAAAGAGGGTAGGATGAGATCGTGCTGGGGCCTCCCCTCAGTCCTTTCTCTGCTGTTTTCCCTGTGATATTCCCGTCACTGCCTGGTGCAACCAGGGGCATTTGATACATGCTTGATTTATTAGTTCAGATTCTCCAGAGAAACAGAACCAGGAGGATGTGTGTATGTATACACACACACAGATGTATTCTAAGGGATTGTTCTGTGTGATTATGGAGGCTGGTAAGTCCAAAATCATCAGGTTAGTCCAGCGGGCTGGAGACCCAAGCACGAGTTGCAGTTTGAGCCCAGAGGCAGTCTGACCCAATGACCAGATGCTTTCTTCTTGGTGCCGGGGCGGGGTGGGGGCGGTGGGCCGGGGGTCAGTCTTTCTATGAAGATCTTCAGCTGATTGGGTGAGACCCACCCCGATTATGGAGGATAATCTGCTTTCCTCAGAGTCTGATGATTTAAATGCTAATCTCTTCTAAAACATAACTTTACAGAAACACCTAGAATAGTGCTTGACTGAGGAGCTGGGTATTGTGGCCTGGCAAAATGGACACATGAAATCTGTTATCACACTTAGTAAATGTTCAGGTTCTGGCAAGCTCTCATTGAAGATCAGGAATCCAAATCCAAATAAGCCCTTTTTCCCTCCAGGTACAGCCCCTGCGCTGCCCCCCACCCCCAGCATCACGGAAATCCTAGCGTTGTTCCACTCTCTGGGGGCACAACTGCTCTGTTAAGCCCTGGACGCACAAGGCTCCATCTGTCTCCTCGACCTTGTATTTCCTTTGACAGATGAGGAACCTGGGACAGAGTTTAAGTTCCAGCTCTGCAGTTATGCAGCTGGGCGGCCTCTTGCCCTCTCTCCACCCGGGGTTTAGCCATGAGGAGGTTAATAGGTAAGCAAAGAAGGGGCAGGGACTCCCACTCTGCAAGGCTGGGCGTGGTTCTGCTTTGTCTGCCTCTGTGTGCAGGGCGCAGTGCATGTGCTCGGGAAGCCTTTGTTGAAGGAACAGGTCAGAAACCGTGGAATCTGAGAACATCTGAATGCAAGAGAACCAACGCCCTTGCAAGGAGACTGCTAGATATTTCACTTTCCAATCGATGTGTTCTAGCGGGCAGTTTGAGCCTCCCAGGTCCTTGGCTCACCCGTGGAAATCACAGACGCCGTGCAGAGCAGATGAATATGTCGGAGATGAATGTATCCGCCACCGAAGTGAAACCCCTCCATCCTCAACATGACTTAGGTCATGCTTTCCAGACCCAGGAGTATGTCATTGAGAGAATATGCTAGATTGCGGATCTGGAGCTACTTCCCCTTTAAGTCGGATTACAGAGAATTGTAAAACAGCATCGTCCTGGAAGAGCCCTTCCCCCCAGCACAGGCACACGGAGTGCTGAGCTTTACATAACCTTCCATGTTGAGCCCCGTGTCGTGATGGGCCCTCACTGAAGGCAGGCACGTGTCTGGTGGGGCTGGGTGGGGATGGAAACTGAGGC